TATCGCTTTCTTGCTGCTTTGAGCCCCGCGTGTGATAAGGTCCATTGTGAAGACAGGGTGATGTGTGCTGTGAGGATGGAGGGATTTTGCCTGTGTAGACTTGGGCTAAGTTCTGAGGCTGCAAAGTTTAATCAGAATACTGGCTTGTTTTGTCAATCAATTAAAATGCTGTATCTCAAAGCAGCATATTTTAAAAGCTATGCATTATTTTAGCACACATGATTATGAAATCTATGAGTGTCAAATGCTCTCTTGGAGGAAGCATTTATCCTTTTCAAGGCCAGCTCTGTCCTTAAGCATAATGAAGCACTAGCCTCCGGCAGCTGGTTCTGGCTGTTGCTGAAAGGGCAGCAAATGGTTTGCAATTTAATCTGTTGTTGTTGTTGTTGTTCTTGTTTTGTACTGTCAGGTGAGGGAGAGGTGCTAGCTGGGTTTTGTAATTAAGGTGTCAAATGGAGAATTTTAATACTGTATGCTCCATCTCCTTACCCTCAAAAAGCAGTTGGTTTTTATTGCAACAGCTTTGCACCATCCACCACCTTAAGCATGCATTGTAGAAATAGTGAGCTCTCTGTATCCATGGACTTGCCATCTGTGGATTTAAGCATCCACGAATGGCAAGTCAGCAGTGCAGAGGAGAAGAAGGAGGAGGAGGAAGCCACAGAAGAGGCTTGCCATCTGTGGATTTAAGCATCCACAGATGGCAAGCCAGAGGTGCAGAGGAAGAGGAGGAGGAGGAGGAAGAAGAAGGTGGGAGGAGAAGGAGGAAGGACAAGGTGGGAGGAGGAGGAGGAGGAAACGGCAGAAAAAAGTGGAGGAAGCAATGGCAGTGGCAGTGGAGGTGCCTTGCTACCAGCCACAAACCACCTCAGGGGAAAGCAAGGAGGGAGGGAGGATGCATGGGGTGAAGCCTCATTGTCCCCAGTGATGGTGCAGTGAGAACAATGGGACAAGCACCCATGGATTTTGGTATCCACGGGGGGGGGGGCGGTATGGATCCCTCACAGATACCGAGGGCCCACTGTAACACAATTTGACACCACTTCAACTGCCATGGTTCCATCCTACAGAATTCTGGGATTTGTAGTTTTGTGAGGCACCTTCTTTTTGACAGAGAAAGCTTAAGAACCTGTAAAACCAGGAATGCCACTAGGGGAATGCGGGGGTGCAGGGTGTGTGGGACACACCAGGGGACACTTTGAAGGGAGTGACACCACTGCTCCCAAGACATCTACCTTTTGGCAGAAGCAGGTTGTGGTGTTTGCCTAGATTCCTTTTAAATGCTTATGAGATGGTGTGAGAGGGGTAGAGCTCAGTGAGAGGAGAAAGGGAAAATCCCAAGTTTCTTTAACAATAATTTGTAAATATTTTTATAATATTTTGTATATTATTTTAGTTTTACTAGTTTTAGTTTTATTCTTTTAAATTTTTCTTTAAAAACATTATAATTTTTTCTTTAAAAACAAATTTTCACTTTAACCACATGAAACTATGTACATAGGCTATGAGCATGGTACTGTGATATAAAGGTATAATTTTAATGTTGCTAATTGTTTATGTCACAACTATTACATTCTGTGATATATGGGAGTTACAATTTATGATTGACATTAATAAGAAAACATTACTAAGGATTATGTATGGTGCAGTATGGGAGGGGGTCAATGGGGGGTGACACTATGAGTTACCACACCAGATGACACCTACCCTAGTGATGCCACTGTGTAAAACTGCAAATCCCAGTATTCCATAGGATGGAACTGCATTATTTCTACAGTGTAGATGCACCCTAAATTAAATCTGGCAAGCACACCCTCCTTCAAGAGGCTGGATTTGCTAAAAGATCTGCTAATTGTTGATCTCTACCAAAAAAAAGTGGCTTCTCATCCCAATAACACTTGCATGAAAAAATCAGTCTCCAAGTCTGCCATGCTGCAAAGAAAAAAATGTTTAAATTTTTCAGCCAAGCAAAGTTTAAAGTTAAGTAAGATTTTAGATCAACATGCCTTAATGTAAAAACAGGTTTTCCCCCACTCACCGACCCATAAAAACAAGTGCCAAAGTGTTAGGCTTATTTCTCCAGTCCTTTCAGATGCACATCTAAAGGTTGTTCAGAAGAAGAGAGTCAATATTCCTGTTACCCTGTTCATTTGAATTTGGATGTATTTGTGCAGCTGTCTCTGGAAATCGTAATTTGAGCACAAGTCCAATACAACACCATCATGGCCAGTTAGAAGCTTCAGCTTTGCAAAAATAAACACACACTAGCTAAAATCATCAACAACAACAACAACAACAGAAGCAGGAGCAACAGCAGTGGGGGCAGCTTTGTAAGAAAAAAAAGTTTGATAATGCTACTAAGTCTACTTTCTCTATATTCTTGACCTGAAGATATTGATGATGGACTCAGTCTTGGTAAGAGCAATTTTTTTGAAATAATATTCTCTTGGACTATAGTTCCCACAATCCTGCCACCAACATGGCTAGTCCAAGAGTGGATTTGCCACTGCTGCACTGGGCCACCTTTGACTGATTTCTCATCTGCCTCTGTACATGGAATGAGAAAGAGGCATCACCTCATCCAAATCTTGAAGCAAAATATCTTGGGCTCTCCCTGGATCCAAACCAACATACG